ATCATCATCATCATCGTCATCGTCATCGTCATCGTCGTCGTCGTCATCGTCATCGTCATCAATACCTGTCCTTGATAAATATCTTCTCCCCGTCCCACCCCGGCGACAGTTTTTAGGGCGGGCCGGGAGTTCGCCTGAGACTTTCTCAGCACGTATGACTCTGAAGCTTAAAATTGGCAACAGTTTCACAGATGGAGGGCGGGTCGTTTTTGGAATGTGGTTCTCGCCATAGCGCAGCGCACATTCGAGTTGAAAAATGTGCAAGCTTCACAGATTGAGGGCGGGCCGTTTCCAAAATGTGGTTATCGGCTTAGCGCCGCGCACATTCGTCTTGAAAAATTGCAAGAATTCCGATCCTTTTCAAAATGTGGCTCTCGCCTTAGCGCTGCGAACTTCCGTTTTATAAAAGCACAAGAGATTCACGGATTGAGGGCGGTTGATTTTCTAAATGTGGCTCTCGCCTTAGCGCCGCGCACATCCGCTTTGAAAACTGCAAGAGCTTCACGGATCGAGGGCGGTTCCTTCTCAAAATGTGGCTCTCGCCTTAGCACCGCGCACATTTGTTTCAAAAAGTGCCAGATTTTCACCAGGAGTCCCATGATCTACGTACCAGAAAGGTTTCAGGATTATGCGGGTGCGACAGTTACTTTGATTCGCGGTGTTGAAGTCCCAATAGTGGCGTCCTGGCAAGATTCAGGATCGTCAAGACACAACAGTCAGGTTGATCCCTGGCGCTGGAATCCCGATAACAATGTGTTGGCATGCTTCAGGGTCTTCACACGGTTACCTTCCAACGAGGCAGTTCCCTCAATGGAAATGAACCGTTGTAGGGGCCTATGAAAAGGGAGCTTGGAGGGAGGATTGATTCCAACATCGTTGATGATTCTTGGGTTTACACTTGTCAACCTCCTCCTCCTACTCCTCATCCTCATCGTCATCAGCAGCAGCATCAGCATCATCATCATCATCATCATCATCATCATCATCATCATCAACATCATCATTATCATCATCATCATCATCATCATCATACTCATCATCAGAACCATGATCATCACGTGAATAAAGAAGAAAATCAAAACCATCACCATACTCATAATCAGAATCATCAGCATCAGCATCATCATCATCATCAACATCAACCGCATCATCATCAGCATCGTCAGCATCATCATCATCAGCAGAATAATCATCATCATCATCATCATCATCATCATCAACATCGTCATCATCATCAGCAGCAGCATCAGCATCGTCATTATCATCATTATCACCATCAGCATCACCATCATCATCAGCATCATCAGCAGCATCATCATCATCATCATTATCGGAGAGAGCGTGATCCACCGCCGCTTTACTGTGGAAAATTGCCAACCTTTTCCTCCGGAGCCCGGGGGTCCCCCCCCCCCCCCCTCCGAAAACCCCCCCCCCCCCTGCTGACCCCTCCCCCCCCCCCCCCACCCCCCTCTCCCCCGGCAAAAACCCCCCCCCTCCCCTAACCCCCCCCCTCTCCCCCTCGAAAACCGGGGGGGGGTCACTACCGGTTCGAACCCCTCCCCCCCCCCCCTCCGGATCCGGAAAACCGGGGGGGGTCACTACCGGTTGGACCCCCCCCCCCTCGAAAACCGGAGGGGGATCACTACCGGTTCGACCCCCCTCCCACGCACCGCCAGCAAACGACTCCCAGTCCCTACCACCGCTCGCATCACATTCCCCACTGTTGTTCCCAGCACCACTGTCCTCACCACCACTGTCCCCACTGGTTCCACCACCGTCCCTATTGTCCCCACCAATGCCCCCACCACTGTCGCACTGTCCCCACTGTTCCCACAACTGTTCCCACCACGGTTCCACTCTCCCCACTGTCTCCACGGACCCAACCACTGCCTATCCCCACTGTCCCCACTGTCCCACTGAGCTGTCCCCACTCCTCCGCTGTCCCACTGAGCTGTCCCACTGTTCCCACCACTGTCCCCACTGTCCCCACCACTGTCCCCACTGTACCTCTGTCCCATTGTCCCACCGCCGTCCTCGCCACCGCCTTTACCAGTGTCCCCACCACCATTGTACCCTCCACTGTCCCAGTGTTTCCACCTCACTGTCCCCACACCACTGTCCCCACCACCACCGTTCCCACCACTGTCCACTGTCCCCCCTGTTCCCACCATTGTCCCCACCACTGTCCCCACCACTACCGTCCCCACCACTGTCCCACTGTCCCACTGTCCCCACCACTGTCCCGCTGTCCCCTCACCACTGTCCCCACCAACACCGTCCCCACCACTGTCCGCACCCCCACTCGGTTTTCGAGGGAGGGGGGGGGGGGAGGGTGGTTCGAACCGGTAGTGACCCCCCCCGGTTTTCGAGGGGGGGGGTGTTCGAACCGGTAGTGACCCCCCCCCCCTTTTCATGATGAACTGGGGGTGGGGGGGAGGGGTTCGAACCGGTAGTGACCCCCCCGGTTTTCCGGAGGGGGGGGGGAGGGGTTCGAACCGGTAGTGACCCCCCCCGGTTTTCCGCCAGCAGCGGTAGAACATGCTCTTTCCTATACATATATATGAAGAGAGAGAGAGAGAGAGAGAGAGAGAGAGAAACAACAACAACAACCATGGGAAAGGATAGGAGGGAGAAAGAGGGAGAGAGAGAGAGAGAGAGAGACAGCGAGAGCCAGGGACAGAGAGAGAGAGAGAGAGAAATAGAGAGAGAGAGAGAGAGAAATAGAGAGAGAGAGAGAGACTCATAAGAAACAGCACGGTGACATAGAGAGACAAACAAAGATAGATGCTGGGGCGCGATCCCCCATCGTCTCCGGAGCTTCCAGCCCAAACCCTGGGAAGTTGGACTCTTGTTTTGGGGTGGGCTGGAAATCGGAGCGCCCCCAGCGGGCCCCAGAAACGGCAGGGCCGTTTTTCGACCCATTTCCCCAAAAAAACGCCTCTTGAACATGGAAGCGGTCAGAACAGGGCGACCGGAAACGGCAACAAAGTCGGCCTCAGGATTGGAGCCAGAGCCCGAACTGGTCAAACAACGGCGCGGCGTCGGAGCCGGCAACGCAGAGCTGCAGGAGACGGCGCCGTCGGCTTCCGGGGGCCCGCTGAGGGAGCGCCCCGCGCTGGGTCGCCGTGCGGCGCGGTCGCCGCGCGACGCGGGCCGGCGCGCCGACCGCTCCCCCCCCCAAAAGACGGCGGGGCTGCCCTCCGTGCGCCACCGCGGTGGACCTCAGACGGCCCAGACGGCCTGCCCGGTGGCCCCCCAAGGCGGCCCAAGAGGTCCTCGGGATGGTCCCTTGAGACGGCCCCAAGACGGCCCAAGATGGCCTCAGAGTCGGCCAAGATAGCCCCAAATGGACTCCAAATCGTCCAAGAAGGACTACCACACGGCACAGATGAGCCTATGGGGCCCCCAAGGCGCTCCGACAGGAACTCTCGAGTCGAACGCCCTGCCCATGCAACGCGCACACATACAAATTAGACTGCCCACATTTCCGCCGCGGGCAACCATGATACGTACACAATTTTGACTCCAGCCTAGTTCCGATTTGCGCGTCGGTGCAAAATTGCACGTGACCTCGAGCAGGCGCCTGGTGGGCCCAGACGGTCACCGAAGGCTGGCAAGGGAAACGCCACCGCGCTGTTCAGAGAAACGGTTTCAAACAGTCCGTCGGAAGCTCCCCCGATTCTCGGAAGGCCTGGTGGGATGCGCATTTCAGGTGGAATTTCAAGGCAAAAACCACTCCGCCACTTCGCTGACTTGGGCTCACGCTCGAGCGCTGGCGACGATTCTGGTTGCAATTCTGTTTGCAATCCCTGCTGCAACTCCAGCTGCAATTCCGGATGCAATTCTGGCCAGGCCCCCGGGATTGCGAGAGGCCCCCAAGCTTTCCAACCTGGTTCAGCACTGCTGGGGTCCGGGCCCCAAAGGCGGTACCAGGGGGGGGGGGGGGGGCACGCGTGAGCATGGGCTTGAAACTCTCGGCGGAAGCGGCTAGCCGCTGAGGCATTGGCGGGCGCAGGAGGACGACTCCGCAGCGGGGGCCCTCCCCTCCCGCTCTGATCCCCCCCCCCGATGCTGCTCTCCCCACTCCTGTTGCCACACCCCTCGTGCCCTCTCCTTCCCACAATAAACGCATCCCACCTGCCCAATAGGCTTAGGCAGTTTACGGGGGTTCTTGTTACAATCCCCATTGTGACCCTTTTGCGGAAGACTGTGTCCCCCTACCCTGTTCCCCTGGGTCTGGACGCAGGGGGGAGCGGTCCAGCCGCGAGAGCCCAGGGCGAGGACGGGGTGGAGGCGGAGGAGGAGAAAGAGGAGGAGGAGGAGGAGGAGGAGGAGGAGGAGGAGGGACGCGAGGAGGAGGAGGAGGAGGAGGAGGAGGAGGAGCAGAGGAGGAGGAGGAGGAGGAGGAGGAGGAGGAGAGGGAGAGGAGGAGGAGGAGGAGGAGGAGGAGGAGGAGAGGAGAGGAGAGGAGGAGGAGGAGCGAGGAGGAGGAGGAGGAGGAGGGAGGAGGGAAGGGGGGGGGGGAGAAGAAGGAGGAGAGGAGGAGGAGGAGGGGAGGGAGGAGGAGGAGGAGGAGGAGGAGGCGGGGCGGAGAGGATCCGCGGGCTTGCCCAAGTCAGCGCGCTGTTGGACCGCGTGAGGGGCCGCACTGTGCCGTTCCAGTTCGCTCGCCGTGCCCGACGGGGTCGATCGTGCACACGCGCCTGAGATGGCCTGGAGCCACCGAGTAGCCCCTCTCCTGGGGGAGGGAACCAGGAGAGAGAACCTCGCGTCTCTCCTCCTCCTCCTCCTCCTCCTCCTCCTCCTCCTCTCCTCCTCCTCCTCCTCCTCCTCCTCCTCCTCCTCCTCCTCCTAGCCTCCCTTCCCAGCGGTCCTCTCTCCTTCTCAGTGGCCCTCTTCCCCTCCTCCTCCTCCTCCTCCTTCCCAGTGGCCCTCTCGCCCTCCTGCCGCTCCTCGCCCCTCCCCGTGCAAGGACCCCGAGAATCAGCCCGACGCGTGGCCTCGATGTCCTGCATCGTCATGGTCGTCTGCACCGATGACTCCAGCCTGGGCGCTGCGACGGGCACGTCCTCCTGGAGAGGGAGCCTTCACGCAGCACGTGTTCGACGACAGAGACCCCATCGTCATGCACACCGCTCCAGGGCAGTCTTCGGCAGTCATCGGCGGTATTCGGACGGTCTTCGCCGGTCTTCGGCGGATTCCCGCAGTCTCCGGCCTGTTTCCCGCGGTCTTCGGCGTGAGAATTGGGCGCTTGCGATAAACAAGAGGTCCATAATCGAACACCTGCTTTCACTGCAAGCAAACCACGACAATTAGACTCTGAGCGAATTCCTGTTTTGTAAAGTCAAGACGCTAAAATAAGGGACAGTTTGGGTTCGGAACGGGCTCGATGTTCCGTAGGTTCCTCCAGAGCTGTTCCTCTTACCCTCCTGGGGCGCGGAGGCGCTTACAGGGCCAAGAAGGGGCTTCGTTCCTTATTAAGCGTTCCTTCTTTCAGCGGCCCGACTGTATTGCCCCCGGGCCTTGCAGGGAGCCGACGTACACCAAGGTCTGGAACCGACACGGGCGCGCGGGCCCCTTGGCCGACAAGTGAGGGAGGGAGAGAGTCTGGGGCCGTTGCTTGATCGACCGGTCGCGCAAGCAGACTGGGCGTAAGTAAGGGCCCTGACTAGTCGCCAAAAGCAGCCGCCCAAAGCAGCCAAGAGTCTCTGGGTGGGGGAAGGGGGGGGGGGGCGGGGGCCCGCGCCGATCGGCGAAGCAATGAATGAGCGAAGGGCGACGTGGCAGACGTGGCAAGACTTCGAACTGCCCGCAGCCAGCCCCCCGAGAGAGAGCCCTGCCTGGCCTCGGCAGGCCCTCCAGGGTGGCCCGGCCCGCTCTCTCGCCTCGGGCCGCCGCCGCAGTGTCGAGATGACCCTCGTGCTGCTTGCCAGGGCCGCCCGGGGCTGCCTCCCGGGCTGCCTGTGCCTGGCCCCAGGGCTTGCCAGCGGTGCTGTGAGCGGTCCTCGGCCGGGGCCTCCAGCAGATCGGGGGCCGACTTCCAGACGAGGGAGTCGTCCTCTCCGTCGTCGCCCTCGGCCAGCCCGATCGGCGTGACGAAGTGGGCCCACCCGTTGGACCGAGGGGTCCTGCGAGGGGAGAAGCCCACCCAAATGCCATCTCTGAACTCTAACTGTTGCCGAAGGACCAAGGCCGCGCTAACGACGATGTTGGTTAACGGCGATGTTGGGAATACGACTTTTGTGACGCCGAGCTCGCGAAGAACAAATGGTAGGAAATCACGACCTACATTTTCCAAATTTTCAAATGTGCGAATGCATCGAGCGAGAACGACGCAGCGAATTGCTGGAACGCGCGAAGCACGATGTCCTACAAGTGGTTTGGCCACGAACCAGTCCCACCTACAATGCCGAAACCTACATCGCCGTTACCTGCATCCCCCTTAGCGCGTCTAGGGAAGGAAGCTCAGACAAGGCACGAAGCCCCATCTTGGGCCCAAAGGCGCAAAGGGAAGACCCCCGTAGAAAGTCCCAGGCAGCGTCGGGACCCCCTATCGCGAAACCAGAGCGAAGATTATCCCAGAGTGATTGCTTTACTTCTCAAACGCTGCCCCGCCCCCAATATCACGGGCGCCAAACACAAAGAACATCTGGGTCTGAATTAAGCTGAGCCCGCAGAAGCCCAGCTCAAGCCCCCAGGGACCACAGCTCAAGCCCCCAGGGACCGACGGTCCCCCGGGGTGTTGTCGACAGGCCCATGGGGCCCATGCCAAGTGAGACCTTCGCGCCGACTGCGCACGACAACTGTGGAGTGCAGAAGGGCAGACTAGCTCGATGCGCCCCCCATGAAGGCGCACGTCCACACCGACCATATAGCACAATCATCTCATCGTATATCGTTACCCTGGCTGTATGGCCAGACGACGCCCACCACCGAACAGATACTTTCGCGCAGGCCGCCCTCGGGTGGGGGCGGGTAGGCGACGCAGACACGGTACGAGTAGATGTCTGGGTGGTGCTGAAGCTGCGCTGTCGTTCCGCACTGCTTGCGGCTGCTGCGCCGTGGCAATCGACACGTCGCGGCAGCGCAGTCATCCGGAACAGGCCTCCGCGCAAGGCAGGGCACCCGCCGCGAGTGCGTGGGATGCGCCCAGCGCGGAACCCCCGTCGCTCCCCCCAGCGGCTGGGCTTAGGTCGGGCATGACCCCCTACGGGCGGATTTTTGACGAAAAATAAGAAGTAGCCCAAACATACTCCAACAATGCTCAAAACTATTCGAAACGTAGTCCCCAGACTATTTCTGTTTCTATTTCTGAGCATTCCTCCCCTCCTGTAGAGGGACAGGCCCGACTTAAGGCTGGGCCGCCGCCTCTTCTGGGCGGAAAGACAGCGGGGCAGGGGGAGGCAGCGGCGGCGGCCTCGGCTTGCTCGCGGGCCGTCGCGCCGTGGCCTCCAGGGGGTGGGCTCTATCGCAGCGGAAGAACACATCGCAGAAACATGAACCTTTGATGGTCCGAGGGGCTTCTGGGGGGGATCTGCGCTGGACCCACCTCCCTGGCGCGCGGGGCGCGCCAGGGGCGGCGCAGGAAGCGCAGCCAGGGGGGGGTCCCAGCGCAGACCCAAAACATCCGCGCGAACCGCCAAGAAATGCTCTGCTTGGGACGTTGTTTGCTCCGCGACCTCCGGGGTCCCAGGGGCCGTCGTGCGTTCTTCGATCCCTGGGGTCCCCTCCAGAGGAAGCTCCGCCAGCTCCGCTGCCGGACAGGGGGGGGGGGGGGGGCCAAGGGCCGCCTCGCCGAGCGGCGCCCCACGGGGCGCACAGGGAGCCGCCCCCCCCCACCCACCGGAGGAGAGGGGCGGGGGGGGGGCCGGGGGGAAGCATGAGGAGAAGAGAGGAGGAGGGGACGAGGCCACCAGAGAGGAGGAGGGGGAGCTGAAGCATGAGCATGAGTGCGAGGGCGGAAAAGAGGATGGGGGGGAGGGGTGAAGAGAAGGGGACGGTAAAAGAAGAAGAAGAAGAAGAAGAAGAAGAAGAAGAAGAAGCATGTGGGCATCCAGCCTCGGGGGGGGGCGACGAAGGATTCCTCGCGCAGCTCTGGGGCCACGAGGTGCACCCACGGACGCAGAACGGCGAGACACTATAATTAGAAATTGCCAGGCGTGGTGTGCGCTTTGTGGAATCCCGCTGTTCCGCCATCGTGCCTCCACGATCGTGGAGTGGTGGGTATCATGGCTGTCCGGTAGAAATTCGATGGCGTTCGAGCAGCAGCCCCTTTCCCCTCCAGGCAGAGGGAGGCCTCTGCTTTCGATGTTCCTTTCTGGCCATCCGCCAGATACGCGGACACATCTGAGGGTGGGCGGGCTTTGAAACTTTGGCATGGTCACGAAACTTCCATGTCCAAGCATGCTCGGCGACGACGAAGACCGCAGCGATGACGATCCTGGCGGCGAAGAACTTGAAGGCGAGGGTGAAGTCGGCGACCGCAATGGGGGCGACAATGACGATGCCCGCATTGGCGTTAATGAGTGACGAGGTTGCTGGAGACGATGGCGATGGCGGCGGAGATGGCAGCAGTCAACGGCACGCGGCGGCCGACAAAGATGGCGGAGCAATGCGGGCCACCCGGTAAAATTCTGAGGCTTCGTGCGGGCCTGGCGGGCGGGGGGCCGCGAGCTCCTGAGTGGGCAAGCAGGCTTCCACATTTATCCGCCACCTTGCGCTTGAGTCATGCGTTGGGGTGTCCTCAAGTCCTTGGCCTCATCCTTGAGGCGCCAGTCCTCAATCCTGAGGATTAGTTAGGGGGCCCGGGTCCGAAACTGCGAAATCTCTTAGGGCTTGGCGCGGCTTGGCGCGTGACTTTGTCAGAACCAAGTTGGCCTTAAGACGGGCCCAGAGGGCCCCAAGAGGCTCCCAAGACGCTGCAAGAGGGCCTCAACTCGTCGCACGATCGGCCCCAGACGCCCAAGATGGTCCCAAGACGGCCCAAGAAGCCTTCGAGACGCCCAAGCAGCCCTAAGAGCCTTCCCAAGAAGGCCCTGGGAGGCCAAACGCATTGATTTCCCGAACGTCGTTTCCCATACTCTTTTGGAAATCTGTCTCCTGTTCGGCGCTTCTTCAAGACGGCCCAAGAGGCCCCCAAGAAGGCCCCGAGACGGCCCGAGAAGGCTCCCAGACGGAACCAGGGGCGACCCAAGACGGCCCAAGAAGGCCCAAAGACAGCCCCCAGAAGGGCCCGAGAGGGTGAGCATAAACCGAACAACCGAGTGTTCCGCTCCAAGAGGCCCCCAGGAGGCCCCAAGAGGCCACCAAGAGAGCCCCCAGCGGCCCCCCAAGACGCCCCCAAAAGGCCCCAAACCGGCCCCCAAGAGGCTCCCGAGAGGCCTCGGCACCACGGTGGCGGCATGCCACAGGGACGCCTGGCGTGCTAGACCCTTTCGATTTTTGCTCGTCAGCTCACGGTGACGTTGTTAGGTTTGACTGGGAAGGCGATCGCCCCGATGGGCGGACAGTGCGAGGTCCCAAGTGGCCCAAGCTCGGCTCCCCTGCAGTCGGAAGCACCCATCTGCCACGAGGCGTGCCAGGGGCGCGGTCAGGCAGCGGTGATGGACCCTTTCGTTTATTTATATATATATATATATATACACATACACATATCTAAAGTTATATATATATATATATATATATATATATATATACACGTTCCAAAAACACTCTCCCCTGGGGTTCCAGAAGGCCGCCGGCCGCCCGAAAAGGACCATACGAACCGCTTGCACAGGTTCTTCCTGCTCAAGACGGCTCCAAGATGGCCCAAGCTGGCCCCCAGGATGGCCAAGATGCCTCCAAGATGGCCAAAATGGCCTCCAAGGCGGCCCAAGAGGGTCAGATACTTTCAGGTCCGCCCAAAAACCCTCAAAAACGGTCCAAGACCGCCCAAGAGATGCCCAAAAGGCCTCCAAGACGACCCAAGAGGCCTCCGAGAGGTCCTCAAGGAGGGCCCGACGAGGCTAACATCATTATTACTCATTTAGTATTTTTGTAGATTTTGGATTTTGCACCTTTTCGGCCTTCCGACGGCCCAAGACTGTCCAAGAGGCCCCCAAGATCGTTCCCAGAGCGCCCAAGAGGCCTCCAGGATGGCCTCAGGACTGCCCAAGAGGCCCCCAATACGGCGCCAAGAGAGCCGCAAGACGGCCCAAGAGGCTTCTAAGATACCCCAGGAAGCCTCCAAGACCGCCCTGGACCACCCCAAGAAGGCCCCAAGTCGACCGAGAGAGGCTCCCAAGGCGGCTTCCGACGGCATCAGACGGGCCAGGAGCCCACCGAGACAGGCCAAGATGGCTCTAAGATGACTCAAGACGGCCCAAGAGGCCTCCAAGAGGGCCTCCAGGAAGGCCCGAAGAGGCCAAAATCATGAATTTCTCCGAAGTGTTTGGAACATGTTGGCATCTGCTTCTTTTCGGCCTTCCGACGGCCCGAGACGGCCCAAGAGCCCCCAAAGATCCTCCAAGAGGCCTCAAAGATGGCCCCAGAAAGGCCCAAGAGGCCCCCAAGACGGCCCCACGAAGACGGCCCAAGAGGCCTCTCGCACGCCCAAGAAAGATTCCAAGACGGCCCTGGAGCACCCCAAGAGGGCCCCAAGTCGGCCCAGAGAGGCTCCCAAGGCGGCTTCCGATGGTGTCAGATGGACCAGGAGCCCACCAAGACGGCCGAAGATGGCCCTAAGATGGCCCAAGACGGCCCAAGAGGCCTCCAGTGGGGCCTCCAGGACGGCCCGGAGAGGCCGAAATCATTGATTGTCCTTTGATTGTTTATGGATTTTGGCGTTTGCGCCTTTTCGGCCTACTGACGGCGCGAGACGGCCCTAGAGCCCCCAAAGATCGCCCCAAGATCGCCGAAGAGGCCTCCAGGATGGCCCCAGAACGGCTCAAGAGGCCCCCAAGACGGCCCCAAGAAGGCTCCAAGACGGCCTAAAAGGCCTCCAAGACGCCCAAGATGGCCTACAAGACAGCCCTGGAACACCCCAAGAGGGCCCCAAGTCGGCTCAGAGAGGCTCCCAAGGCGGCTTCCGATGGTGTCAGATGGGCCAGGAACCCACCAAGACAGGCCCCGAGGAGGGTTTCAAAGGCCCCCAAGAGGCCCAAGGAGGCCCCCAAGATGCCTCCAAGAGGCTCCCAGGAACCTCCCAGGAGGCCCCAAGAGTGTCCCCAAAGGCTCCCAAGATGCCTCCTCCTCCTCCTCCTCCTCCTCCTCCTCCTCCTCCTTCTCCTCCTCCTCCTCCTCCTCCTCCTCGTCCTTCTCCACCTCCGCCTCCACCTCCTCCTAATCTTCCCCGCCATCCTCTCCCAAGTGTCCCCCGAAGGGTTTCCACATTGGGTGGGGGAACACATGATCCGATAGCCTGGCGGAGCTCTTGTCATAACTTTCCGCCACGTGTGCGATTCTAGAAGGCAGGGGGCGGCGGTGATTCGCCGCAGGCGTCTTCGATAGTAATGCAAATGGGCCCCAGTGTATGTCCAAACATTGATATGTCGCTTGGGGCTGCCTGACAAACAATGTTTCTGGCACGGCTTTTAGCAATTCCTGTAGGTTTCATGAGGTTGCCGCGGTTTCCGTGAACAAACCCTCTTACGCTTCTGCATGCGTCGAGCGCAAAATCAATGGTGGCGCCTGAGACATCCTCACCCACATGCTGATATCAGGTCCATGTTTGGATGCTTTCTGGCAGGTGTCCGTAATCACCAGCAGGTCCACTCGATTATTGTTGTGCTTTTCGCGGGCCTGGCATCACAGAATCTTCATCGTTGCGTCGGGCGTCCTCGCAGACATCAGAGTCCGTAACTGTTCCGCTGCCTTGCGAAACCGAAACTCTTCCTCAACAAAACGAACCGACACATCGAAAGATGAACGCTCCCCGTTTGTCGGGACAGACCCATGTATAGGTCCGCCGCTGTTGTTCACTCCTCTGCCGCACCCTGCTCGTCTTCTAGACGGCCCCAAGATGGCCACATGTATCACCCAAAGGTGGCGACCAGATGCCCCAAGTCCAGCCCAAGACAGTAAAGCTGCCCCCACGACACCACGATGCCCTCAAGATGTCCTGGAAGATGCCATGAACCGAGATAAGACACCTGAGTGCAACCCATTTTGGCCAAACGGGCAGTGAAGCACCACCAGTTATTCAGCGTGCTCGGCCTCGGATGTGTTCCGGCTTCAGATCGCATCGGGAAAATGCCAGAGAGTCCCAAGATGGCCGAACGCGGCCGCAGAAGGGCCCCAAGGCAGACAACACCGCTACAATGTGCTTCCCGATCGGCACCGGAACCCATCCAGGCAGCGCTGAGATTTCAGCCGACGCGCCCAGGACGGCCCTGAAACTCCCGATGGACCCCCTGACACCCAGCAGAGCCCCAGCGTGCCCCACATGGAAGCCAAATGAGCCTCCGTGACGTGCCTTCAGGAGACGGGAGGAACATGTGGAAGATGAGCAAGGAGGACGGAGGAAGGGGAGGACCAAGCCGAGGACAGGGAGGGCACCGTGCCCCTGGCTGGAGCGGGCCTTCAACACTCACCCCCCTCACCGCTGCGCTGCCGCGCTAGCTCGGCGACGAGGCTTGTCGCATGCAGCTGGACACAAAGCGCCCTGACATCCGACGATACGATTTCTTCAATGCGCGGCCCCAAGATCGGCGGTGGACAAGCCTCCCTGTAGTAAACCACCTTGTAGTGAAAACGGCCTCTAGGACCGAAGCCGACGGACCCGGACCCGCAAAAAAGACGGCCGCGACGCCCTCTCGCGAACGAAAAAGGCGAATTCGCGAATCGACGTGTCAGGGTAGGAGATCTATCAACCTCCGACAAGAGCCCGACTCCCGTCACCTTGGCTAAGTTGTCGCCCCCGACCCGCGCTCGATGGTCCCAGGGTTTGGCAGCGGGCCCCCAGCCCTAACATCGAGGAAGAGCCGAACGGACCACAACACCACTCCTGCCGACGAAGAGCTGGTCATCTGGAGGGCCTGGGCTTAGGTCGGGCATGTCCTTGTACAGGCGGATTTTGGACGACATATGAAACATACCCCAAACAATTTCCAAACATAGTCAACCATACCCCCAAAATCGTATCCAGACTACATTTGACTACTTGTGAACTTTCCTCCTGTAGAGGGACACGCCCGCATTGAGACTACAACACACCTCGTGTCGTCGGAGATCTGCTCATCTGGAGGGATGGAGGAGGAGGAGGAGGAGGAGGAGGAGGAGGAGGAGGAAGAGGAGGAGGAGGAGGAGGAGGAGGAGGAGGAGGACGTGGAGGAGGAGGAGGAAAAAGAGGAGGAGGAGGAGGAAAAAAAGGAGGAGGAGGAGGAGGAGGAGGAGGAGGAGGAGGAGGAGGAATAGCTGGGAATAGCTGCAGCGGGACACGAGGCCGTCCCCAGGAAGACAGAGGAGGAAGAGGAGGGGCCTGGGCCGATTTTCCCCCAGGCGGTCCCGGCGGGGACCGTTCTCGCGCGCAACGCGGCGGCGGCCTCCGCGCTCTGGTCGGACTCGGAGGACTCCCTCCGCGCGCCGCGGCGCTCGCTGGAACGCCCGGCTCGCCGGGCCTCCGTCCGAACCTGCCCCCCCGCTTCTGCAGCTTTCCCGCGCCCCCTCCGTCGCTCCACAGGCCCCCCCTGGAAATTCGCCTTGCGAGACCACTGGCGAGCGCAGGCCAGCCTCGAGCGATCCCTTCGCCTACACATTTGCCCGCTCTTTTTTTTTTTTTGTTCTCTCTCTCTCTCTCTGACTACCTACCAGACCACCCCAGCCCAACCCGAAGACCCGAGTTTCGGGTTTGGGGGGGCATGGGCTTCATGTTTTTTCTGTTCCATGTTACCGGACCCCCCCCCCACTGGAAGTGAAGGGCAAATCGGGGCCTTCGGGTTGGGTTGGGGTGGCTTGGTGGGCGGAGACCCTCTCTCTCTATTTCTTCTCTTTCCCCTTTCAGCGTTCGGGGTGGCTGGTGGACGGAAGGGCACACGCGCCACCCAGGCCCACCCCCTGCGTGCGAGAACGGCAAGACGCTCCATCCGACGTCCGACGACGACCCATCCTGCACCTTGCCTTAGGTCGGGCATGTCCTCCTGCAGGCGGATTCTGGGAGAAAAATGAAACATTGTCCAAAACTGTTCAAATACAGACCATCAAAATTCGTAAACAAAAATCGCCCCCATATTATTGTTGACCAGTTTTTATATTCCTCCTGTAGAGGGACACGCTCGCCTTAACCCTTGCCCTGGACGGCCCCAGGTCCCCCAGATGCACCAGCGTGCATCCTTGGGCAACCCCGCTGCCTCCTCGCCAGGGCACCGGCCTGCCGCCGTGCGATCGCGGGCGGTATGCTGCAGCCCACACAAGGCCTGCCTGCCATTCCCGCCCTCCTCGGTCCTCCTTTCCTCCCTGTCTCCCGCCTCCGCCTCGCGAGGAGGAGGAGGAGGAGGAGGAGAAGGAGCCGCCTCCCGCCGCCTTCCTCGTCCCTGCAGCCCGCCTCTCTCCTCGCTGCCTCCCCTCTCTCTCACGGCCTCCCGCCTGCCTCTGCTCCCTCGTTCCTCCCTCCCTCCCTCCCTCCCTGTTCCTCCTCTCCTCGCCTCCGCTCTTCCCCCTCCTCGCCACGATGGGCCACTCCATTTCGTTCTCGGGAGACGGACGGAGGAAGGGAGAAGGTAGGATGGTGGACGAGGATTGTTCTTAGAGGTGCTCGGGTGTCAGCGGGGGGTCGAGACTGGGGAGGCAGGAGATAGGAGGTGGGATATGAGATTCATCTGACAACGGAAAAATTGGGGGTGATTGAGAGGAAGGGGGAAGAGGGCGGTTGGAGGTGCATATACAAGCAAGATATGGATGAGGCGGGTTAGAACCTACACTGAAGAGAAAGGGAGAAGGTGTAAAGGGAACATAAGCAAGTACGGGGATACGATCTAACATTATACATTGAAGCAGGAGGGGCGAGGTAGCCGGATGTGTGCTGTCTTATGCATGATGTTTCATAAGAGATAGCCCCTCATCCGACATCTCCCCCTGATGTATGGCCGTCCCCTCTGTCCATCCCGACACGATGGCCGGATCCGACAGTATGGGTTACGGGATCAGATCTGAGAGCCAGCGGATCCACAGGCCATGCTGAATTCACTGCCCTTCAAAACTCAAGGACGCCATGAGAATGTCTGGAACAACGTATCCGTTTCCTGAGGCTGCACCGCATCCTCCCTTCTGTCCCTCGTCCTGGTCCTCTCCTCGCCTTGCCTGCGCTATTGGGCCCCTCGTCGTGTTTCCTCGTCTCTCCTCGCCCCGCTCCTCCTCTCTCTCACCCCCGTCCTCGTCCTTCCCTCATCCCTCCTCGACCTCGTCCCTTCCTCGCAGTCTTCAGTCAACGCCTGGCATCCTCCTTCACCCACTAGCCATGGAGCCCGATTCCCCCCCATTCTTCCATGCAGGCCGTCGTCGTCGTCGTCGTCGCCGTCGTCGCCGTCGCCGTCGCCGTCGCCGTCGCCGTCGCCGTCGCCGTCGTCGTCGTCGTCGTCGTCGTCGTCGTCGTCGCCGCCCTCATCCTACTCCTACCCCCCGCCCCCCCCCCTCCCTCGCGAAGAAGCGAGGCGCCCGAGGCGGGGGAGGGGCATGAGGAAGAACATGAAACGGCGTGCACGTTTCTGGAGACGCCGGGATGCTCCAGAGGGCTCCTGCTCTTATTCTGCTGTTGCGTCTGCTCCTTTTCATCCTCCTCCTCCTCCTCATCCTCCTCCTTCATCTCCACCTTCTGCTCATCCTATCTACGTTCTTCATGCCTCCCCCTCTCTAATCCCCTCATCCCCTCTCCCTCCTCCTGGTGAGAGCTCTTTCGAGCGAAGGGGACGCCCCTGATTCCACCGGCAACCCGAAACCTCCTCCATCCTGTCTCTCGCATCTCCTCCCGCTCCACATTCCCGCTCCTCTGGCACGTCCCGCCCGTCTCCCCCCCCCCCAACGCGGTCACGCGTGCGCGTGCATAGGAGAGAGGTGCAGGTAGGGTGGAGGAGGGAGGACGACGGCTCGGGCACATACATATCATTTCCAAGGGGCTCAAGGCCGTCCTCCTCCTCCTCCTCCTCTTCCTCCTCCTCCTCCTCATCCCGGCTCCTCCTCAACCCTCCTCATCCCCCTCCTCCGGCCCCCTCCTTATCCTCATCCTCCTCCTCCTCCTCCGCTGGACCCCACAATCAGCTTCTCATCGGTCGGTCCATGGTCCCTGCCAGTGGTGCACACTGGCGAATAACCCCTGCACCCCAGGAGTGGATTCCTGACGGCCCCAAAACCCGAAACGCCGTCTCGAGCCCCGGGGGGAGGGGTGAAGAGACAAGAGGAAAAAGGAGGAGTTCACGCACCTTAGGAAGAAACTGCTGATGGGTCGGTCTCCCTAAGAAAGATGAATGGCCATTGAGCCAGATTAGTCCAGATCGAACCAGGAAAAATATTGTATATACTCTGGCGGGGGTAGGAGGGATTATACCTGCCTTCGACTACGCACATGCCAGCGACGATGCTGAATCAAACCTCCAAGGAGTTGCATCCGAACGTGCCCAGTGGAAAGAGTAGGAGGAGGCACAGGAGGAGGAGGCCGCGATACGATACAAAAACACAACGATATTTAGAATAGCGTCGAGTCTGCTGGAGAAGGGGGGGGTTCGAAGAGCAAGTCCCGGCATGGCGAAGAGACAGACGAGGATGGCGAAGGGGACCAAAGGAGGAACAGAGGAGGAAAAGAGGAGGACGACGAGGGGAAGCAAAAGGAGGAAGTCGAGGGGGAGGACGAACGCAACGAACCTCCAAAAGCACCCCAAGCATCGGGGGTGGACAGAACACCCTTTAGCAGAAAATCCTCTCGCGGAGGAACGGCCGGGGACCAGGACCCGGCGGAAGCGCAGGCCCGAAGCGAGTGCGGCCGCGCCACCCTCTCGAGGATCGCCGAAGGGTGGGGAGGGGATGTCCGTCGCCACCCTCCGAAGAAAAACAACGTCCCTCCTCCTCCTCCCTCCTCCCCCCCCGCCCCTCCCCATCCCTCCTCTTCCCTACTGTTCCTCCTCCTCCTCCTCCTCCTCCTCCTCCTCCAACTCCTCCGCTGGACCCACGTCCTTCGCACTCCTCCCACAGAGAAGCGACCCTCCGCCGAGCCGCTCCCTGGACGGCCACCAGGGGGGCAGCAGAGGGCAGCAGAGGCCCCATAGGAAGCAGAGCCTTCGAAGAAACCGCCCGCATATGCTTGCACCCTTTTATCTGATATGTACATGAAACGCTATGTATATGAAGCGCGCGGAGAGGTGGGTCCTCCTCATCCTCCTGCTCTTCTTCTTTTTCCGTCTCCTCCCCTTCTTCCTCCTCTGTTTCCTCCTCCTTCTCCTCCTCCTCCTCCTTGCTCGTCCTCCTTGCTCCTCCTGTCCTTGCTCGTCCTCCTCCTTCTCCTCGTTCTCATCCTCCACCTCCCCCTACTCCTCCTACT